ATAAGGCTTACTCTCCACTCCACATATGCTGCCTTTGATTCACCCTCTCCATGGGATCTGATTGCTCAGGTCAAAATGGCTCCAGGAGGCCATCCAGCTCAACTTCTTTGCTTCTGGTCTGCAATGATCGACTTTAGAGCAGCCAGCTTGGTCTGCGCAGCAGGAATGTCTGTTTTTGTGAAGGCATCTGCTGCTTCTCTCAGGCTTCTGTGGGTCTCATGAATGACAACAAGGTCAAGGTTGCTTCGTTCTGACTTGCTCTGTGTGTGGTGCTGTTGTTGTTGTTTGTTTTGATCCTGCAAATTACAGAAAAGATTTTAATTTAACATGAAGATGCATTTATTTATTTATTTATTTATTTATTTACCTATACTGTTGCATTTTCCAACAGCTCATCAACTGGTATTACTGATCACAAAAACAGCAAGTGTCAAGACCTTGTTTTATTTTAAATGCAGTTTGTGTGTGTGAATAGCATGCAATATATTCATAAAAAATAATCACATCTATGAAAAACCTTGCAAAGATGGAAAAAAAAAAATATATATATATATATATATATATAGATAGATAGATAGATAGATAGATAGATAGATAGATAGATAGATAGATAGATAGATAGATTTTTTTTCCCATCTTCGCTTTTTTTATTTTATCTTCTTTCTGTTTTGAGTGAGCTTTTAGATAATGTAGTTGAAAAAGTGTGAAAAATCTGGCTCAAACATGTCATCTAACCATAGTACACAAGGGTAAACACACTTACAAATTATCCGAGTCACTTTGGTGCATTTCTCACAACACCATTTACATTTGCACTACAGTTAATGCATTTCTCAAAATAATTAGTCATTTGTACACATCATAGTAGCAGTTTCTCAGTCCTTTAAACTATTTTCTCTGCTCTGCAAAGAGTATATAGTGCTATCTTAAGCACTTTCAGAAAGTGTCACCAAAATCTGACTTTTTTTTTTGTTTGTTTTTTTGTATTTAAAAAAATGTACAGAGTATAATGTCATAATAAAAACATGACAAAGCCATTTGACTACCTTGTTCATAAACAATTGTGTCAGGACATTTCATTTTGATGACACTGATACTTTGATTGAAATGAATACTTGCTTTTGAGGAACCAACTATCCATGTTGAGCATGTGACGCGCTTTTGCAGGTTATCAAGTAGGTTTTGCAGTTTGTACTAATTGTTTTGAGAAATGCGTTAACTGTTGTGCAGACATGCACTAGTGTTGTGAGAAATGCACCAAAGCGGTTGAGAAAAACTGTAATATTGCGTCCACGAGCGCGCGCGCGCGTTGATTATGCATTATGTGGCCATGCATATAAACTAAAAACAGTCATATGAGCGAACAACGATAGTCAGTTACCTTGTTGTCGAATTAGACCGTCAAACAAATTCAAGCAAACAACAGCAACTGTTTGATTGACAGCGTTCCGTCACAAGGCGGGGCTTTAAAGCGCCCTTTAAATACAGTCAATCAACTGTAGCACTTTTCATCTTATGGTATAAGTCCTCAGAGCAAAGAACGAGTGCCTTTTATTTAAGACTCAAAGATGCCGCGGAGTTCTATGGCAGCCTGTTTGTCCATCAAGTCTTTTTATATAATTATTGTAAAATCTCTATAAAGCGATCACAACATAACAAAAGACGCGCTGCCCTCTTGTGGACAGACTTTGAAACGTTCAGACCCAACTTGCAGAGTGCTTTTACTAATGTTGAATAACAATATGCAACTATTTATGTATTTTTATTAATTAAAGTGTTTTATTTTATTCATTTAACAAGTATTTTGTTTATTTTATTATTGTTTTGTACATCTATCCGTGGATTTTATTATTGATCTTCAATTTCATCACAGTTCCTTTTTTTGTCCACCAGAGGGACTCATCTGACAAGTTATCAATGCTAAACCCTCTTAATCATAGACTGTCACATCTGAGCCACTTTCTGACAAATACTGAATCAAACCTTTATGCTGACATTAAATATAAAGATGGTATCAATTTATTTCTTATAGGTGGGAAATAAAATATGAATAATATGTGCAACGACACGATTGACAGTTTTTTGTTGTTTAGGTTATAGGTCAAGGGTCCTGTGTGTATGATAGATAGATAGATAGACCGACGGAAGACAGACAGACAGACAGACAGACAGACAGATAGACAGATAGATAGATAGATAGATAGATAGATAGATAGATAGATAGATAGATAGATAGATAGATAGATAGATAGCTTAAAGTGACATGTAAATTCTTCACCAGGTTAATTAGGGTAACTAGGCAGGTCAGGGTAATTACTCAAGTTATTGTATAACGATGGTTTGTTCTGGAGACCATTGAAAAAATATATATTGCTCATAGGAGATAATTAGTGACCTTAAAATTAATTTTAAAATATTATTTATTTAAAACTGCTTTTATTACTGCCCAAATAAAACAAATAAGATATGCAGAAGAAAAAAACCTTATCTGACATACTGTGAACATTCATTTACTCTGTTAAACATCATAGATAATAACACAGAGAAAACCGCAGTTTAGCACCCCCTGTAATGTTCAAAAGGGCTAACGTCATTGCAGATTTTAGCCAGTTCGAACACAGACCATTATCACCCTAGGTACACCAGAGGGCGCCTCTTCATCTACGGATCTACAGGTACGTAGCTTAAATGTAGACGAATGGATTGATCCTTCCGGTTGTCGATTCAGTTGAGAAAATAATATCTAATGTTTGTACATTCTGCCATATAAATGAAGAGACTTTATTTCACTCTTTCTATTGGTTGGACCCAGGTTAAACATCTCTGGTATAACATTATCTTTATTTATTTAAACGTGATTTAAAGTTGTCTGTAATATACACACACACACACACACATCTGTATTTCTCGAGTCTGCTCTCGATCTTGTTGTACATTTGTGTTACACTGAAAATGTCTTTACTCAAATAAGTTACAAAAACAATTCCTATATTTAATACTTGTTGAAATTTCGAACAATATCGAGTCTTTTAAGCCTATTTATAAGAATAATAGGTTTCTTAAAGCTCATGTTAATCTTTTTTCTTAATGATTGCGTCTTTGATAAGTTTCTCTTTATTTGTGGTTATTGTATTTTGATATTGTATATTGAGAGAGAGGGAGAGAGATTTAAAAAAAATAAAAGAACACACACAGTATTCAGAACGAGTATAAATTTATTAATTTCCATTTTTACACTGAAAAATTATTCAAAGATGATTCCTTGGATTAACAAATTTTTACGTTAAGTGGTTGTAAACAATTTAGACTGAATTTAAACAGACAAATTAAGTTGAACATTATTAAAGTTTAATTTGTTTGTTTAAATTCAACAAAAAAAAAAAAAAAAAAAAAAAAAAAAAAGACTCAAAACCTCACAACCCCTGAAACACATCACACCGTCAGGTTGTCGTTTTCTCAATTCGAACCACTTTAAATGTTTTTTTTTTTGTTTTAAAGACACCTCAGAACACCAACACACAATCAAACCAAATACACAAAACAAGTAGAACTTTTACCATTTTTTTTTCACCAAATTCTGCAGTCTCGTACGTTCCCTGTTTTGCAAAATTCTGCTGTGCCTTTGATGCAAATCTTCATTTCTTTGTCTCAGGTACCTGTCTGGCACACAGTCCTCGGTCCACACATGCCCATCGAACTCCTTACGCCTTCAATAGGGATGCGTCACTCTCTCCAGGTTACTTCTGGTAGAAATAACAGGTATTTGTTTTGTGATTACTAGAGTTTTGTAAAAAATAAAATAAAAAAAAATGTTAATATGTAAAGAGGGGTTCAGTTCTCACCAGTAACAAGCAGATTGTCCATCATGAAGTTTAAAAAAAAAAAAAAAAAAAAAGGCTGGACTTCAGCCCCACTGTTCCTTTCCAGCCTCTCCCTCAGTCCCTGCAGCTGTTGCCCTTGGTCCGCAACAAGCGTTTTAAGCAAGGTCAGCTCTGCCACATCCGTCCATTGCGTTCTCTGCTGCTTCCTGTAGCACCCTGGTGTCCTGTTGTAAGAATTATAATTGTTTATTAAAGGTGCAGTAAGCGATTGCCTTCAGAAACAGTTTTTGTTGTGCTGGTAGGAAGTATCTTGCAGAATAGAGAACTGGAAAGACGTTAGAATTTAGTGGAAAATATAAAAAGTTTATAAGGTCAACTTGTTTTGTATATTTGGTGTGATGGTTTTTTTTTAATGCATTTCAGGGGTTCTGAGTCTTAATTTAGTGTATAATTGAATTTTTATGTTTTTTTCAGCTAGACTTCTGACAAACACACACAGTCCTTCGTCCACACATCTCCTTCCGACTTCACCATGGATGCATCCCTCTTAGGTCTGATGGAAATAACAGGTATTTGTGTTTAGCAACTGACCACCATTTTGAGACAGTGTTAGGGTGTAAATTGGTTCAGGTCTCACCTTTTGACTGATCAGATGTTGCATCATGAAGTTGAGCAAAACTTTAATAGGTGGTCGTAGGTGGCAGCCATCTTTTGCACTTCATCCTCACTGTTCCTGTCACATGCCTGTCCCTCAGTTCCTGCAAGAAGACAAGCGAGAACCAGCATAAGCCAGACAACCAGTATATCACCACCAGCACATCTTATAAAAGGATTCATCTCTGGCTCGGGTCTCAAACTCAATTTATAGAAGGCCGCAGCTCTGCACAGTTTTGCCCCCGCCCAAATTTAACACAGCTGATGAATCCAATCAAATTGTTAACCATTTTTAATTATTTGGATTAGCTGTGTTTAATTAGGGCTTCTTCGTCCCTCTTTCTTTCCTCATCCTGGTAGAGCTTGGAAAAGTACAACTTTTAAGTTCATTAATATATTATGCTACTATTATTTAAATATATTAGTAGCAGTGGGAGTATGTATTTTAATTACTAGTATTAACATTTGTTAGTATTCACTTAGGCTGTATATATATATATATATATATATATATATATATATATATATATATATATATATCAACATAAACAAATTAAAAAAAATTGAAAGTTGTGTTTGCAAAATACAGAAAAGGTTTTAATTTAACATGAAAATGCATTTTTTTATTTCTACTGTTGCTTTTTCCAACAGCTCATCAACTGGTATGATTGATCACAAAAACAGCTAGTGTCAAGACCTTGTTTTTATTTTAAATGCAGCAAGATACAGTGTGTGTGACAATGGCATGCAATAGTTATAGAAAAAAGAAAAAAGAAAAAAAACACACTATGAAAAACCTCACGAAGATGAATTAAATATATACATACAAAATGTGCTGCCGTTTTGTGGACAATCTTTGAAACGTTCAGACCCAATTGGCAGAGTGCTTTTACTAATATAGTATAAACATATGTAACCATTTATATATTTTTTATTAAGTAATTTGTTTTATTTTATTAAACAGTTGGTTTATTCTAAAAAAAAAAAAAATAATAAAAAAAAAATAAAAAAAGGTTGGTGAGCCATGATTTAGACATTAACACACTTGCCCAGACTCTCTGCCTGAATATAAACATGAAAGTGTGACAGTCCCTGTAAACTGCACAATGCACCACTCTGGCAACAAAAGTTTAATACTCAATTCCAGTCTCAGCAGTGCACAGGAACATTAATAGAAAAAGCGTAATGATAAATGTGAATAAAACTTGTATGCATGTATATATGATATGCAATTGTGTTTGCAGTATTATGCTGCGAGTATTAACACTACAGTATGTGACGGCAAGCAGTTGACCGTTGGTGACTGCTCCGTTAACTGGACACTTTAACTGGCAACAGTGTTCCCAGTTAATCATGGTAACCAAACCATTCACAGTGACTAGTTTCCCAGTGTTCAAAGTATAGAGAGATTTTTACAAAGTAAATAAAGAGAACAAACAAAGCATTTAGAACAATTATAAAATGTTTATTAGGTTTCATTCTTACACTGGAAAAAAAAATAAAAAAAATTTCAAAGATGCAATGGATTTACAATTTTTTATTTTACGTCAAGTGGTTGTAAACAATTTAGGCTGAATTTAAAACAAAAGTGGAACATTATTAAAATTTAATTTGTTTAAATTCAACACAAATAAATAGTTTGCAACAGTTCTGAATGCAACACTTAACTCAAGGCCTCTCAGAACACCCCAACACACATCACACCAAATACACAAAACATGTAAACCTTTTACAATTTTTTAAACTAAATTCTGAAGTCTCATAGGTTCTGTTCTGCAAAATCCTGCTGTGCCTTTCTTTGATGTAAATCTTAATTTTTTTTTGTCTCAGGTACCTGTCTGGCACAGTCCTGTCCACACAGCTCGCCTAACTCCTTCCGCCTTCAATAGGGATGAGTCACTCTCCAGGTTACTTGGGTCTGGTGGAAATAACAGGTATTTGTTTAGCAAGAAGTACCGTTTTGTAAAAAAAAAAAAAAAAAAAAAAGATTTAAAGGGGTTCAGTTCTCACCAATAGCAAGCAGATTGTCCATCATGAAGTACAGCCTAGATCGTCAGGATCAGTATTCTCAGATCAAAGGACTTCAAGAAGCGGTCAAGCTGTTTCTCATTTTTTATCTCTTTTAAAGCATGGTGTCATCCCCTGAAGTTGAAGGCATCTCGAGAGAGAGGGAGAGATTTAAAAAAAAAAAAAAAAAAAAAAAAAAAAAAAAAGGCACAAACATAATTTTAAAAAATTATAACAGTTTATAAAAGTTGCAGTAGTAGGAAGTCTCTTGCAGAAAAGAGAACTAGAAAGACTTCAGAATTTAGTGGAAAATCTGAAAAGAAAAAAAAAAAAAGTTTACATCAACCAGTTTTGTACATTTGGTGTGATTGGGGCAGTAGTTGAAGCATTTCAGGGGTTCTGAGTCCTCATTTAGTGTATAATTTAGTATTTTTTTTTTTAATTCAGCTAGAATTCTGACACACAGTCCCGTCATCACATCTCCTTCCACCTTCACCATGGACGCATCCCTCTTAGGTCTGATGGAAATAACAGGCATTCGTGTTTAGCAATTGACCGCCATATTAAGAGTGTTAATTGTAAAGTGGTTGAGGTCTCACCTTTTGACTGATCAGACATTGCATCATGAAGTTAAGGAAAAACTGAATAGGTGGTGGTCGTAGGTGGCAGCCATCTCTTGCACTTCAGCCTCACATGCCTGTCCCTCAGTTCCTGCAAGAAGACAAGCGAGAACCAGCATTAGTCAGACAACCAGTATTTCTCCATCAGCACATCTTCTAAAAGCATTAATCTCTGGCTCGGGTCTCAAACTCAATTTATAGAAGGCCGCAGCTCTGCACAGTTTTGCTCCCGCCCAAATTGAACACAGCTGATGCCACCAATCAAATTGTTAACTATTTTTAATTATTTGGATCAGCTGTGTTTTAATTAGGGCTTCTTCGTCCCTCTTTCTTTCTTTATTCTAGGGGAGCTTGGAAAAGTACAACCTTTTAGTATATTAACATATTGTGCTACTAATATTTAAATATATTAGTAGCAGTGGTAGTATGTTTTATAACTAGAATTAACTTTTTTTTAGTATTCACTAGTATATTATTTGATTTATATGTTTATTGTTTTTGTAATCTGAAGTATGATGGCTTTTCCTAAATTAGATTCAAACGTTGCAAAAAGAAACCAAAAGACGCATTTTCCTTTTGTACTGTTGAAGCTAATGTGGAAAAGATTTTCTTTTTGAAAATATATTTTGAAACGTTGATCAAATGATGCATGCTGACTGGACACTCACAGGCATTATGATGAAGGATGAGATGTTTCCTCATGCAAAAATAAAAATAAATGAAAACTGAAAAAAAGATTTGAGGATTGCTTCTTTGAATTGAGCATATGTGGAGACAAATTACACTGCCACAGATGATCCCTACTTCCCCTGAGCAGAAGCTGATCGATAATGCTAATTTTCTGCACACCTGTAAATAACATAAAAGTTTTACACAGTAGCAGACTTTTTTTAGATTTGTATGTCTGTATGTGCATGTTGGCTATATTTGCGACTAAAGTCACATGTAAAGAAAACACGCACACACTAAAATGAAAAAATATTTACAAGATAAACAAACAAAACGCCATGTACTGTCAGGAGTTGGGTTTTGATTTTATTAATATTACCGTGTGATCTTGACTTTGAATTGAGTTGCTCTGAGTGTTGTTGTTTGTTTTGATCCTGAAAAATGCAGAAAAGATTTTAATTTAACATGAAGATGCATTTATTTATTTATTTACTTCTGCTGTTGCATTTTCCAACAGCTCATCAACTGCAATTACTGATCACAAAAACAGCAAGTGGTGTCAAAGCCTTGTTTTGTTTTAAATGCAGCAAGATACATTATGTGTGTATATATATATATATTGTAAAATCTCTATGAAGCTATCACAACATAGCAAATGACGTGCTGCCCTCTTGTGGACAATCTTTGAAACGTTCAGACCCAACTGACAGAGTGCTTTTACTAAGGTTGTATAAATATAGGCAAATATTTCATATATTTATATTAATTAATTAGTTTTATTTTATTAAATAAACAATTAATTTGTTCATTTTATTATCGTTTTGTACATCTATCCTTGGATTTTATTATTGATCTTCAATTTCATCACAGTTCCTTTTTTTGTCCACCAGAGGGACTCATTTGACAAGTTATCAATGATAAACCCTTTTACTCACAGACTGTCACATCAGAGCCACTTTGACAAATACGGAATTAAACCATTCACAGTGAATAGTATCCCAGTGTTCAAAGTATAGAGAGAGATTTTTAAAAAGTAAATAAAAGAACAAACACAGCATTTAGAACAATTATAAAATGTTTATTAGGTTTCATTCTTACACTGGAAAAAAATTTCAAAGATGCAATGGATTTAAAAAAAAAAAAAAAAAAAAAATTACGTCAAGTGGTTGTAAACAATTTAGGCTGAATTTAAACAAAATAAGTGGAATATTATTAAAATTTAATTTGTTTAAATTCAACACAAATAAATAGTTTGCAACAGTTCTGAATGCAACACTTAGTGCTGCCATTTTAAGCTCGTTTCTCAATCCGAACTATTTCAAATGTTTAAAAATAAGGACTCAAAACCCCTAAAACACATCCTCAGCTTGTCGTTCTCAATTCAAACTACTTTAAAAAAAAAAAAAAAAAAAAAAAAAAACCTCAAGGCCTCTCAGAACACCCAACACACATAAATCACACCAAATACACAAAACATGTAAACCTTTTACAATTTTTTTTTAAACTAAATTCTGAAGTCTCATAGGTTCTGTTCTGCAAAATCCTGCTGTGCCTTTCTTTGATGTAAATCTTAATTTTTGTCTCAGGTACCTGTCTGGCACAGTCCTGTCCACACAGCTCGCCTAACTCCTTCCGCCTTCAATAGGGATGAGTCACTCCCCAGGTTACCTGGGTCTGGTGGAAATAACAGGTATTTGTTTTGCAATTACTACCGTTTCATAAAACTTGTTAAGATTTAAAGGGGTTCAGTTCTTACCAGTAACGAGCAGATTGTCATTTTAAAAAAAAAAAAAAAAAAAAAAAAAAAAAAAAAAAAGCCTTGCCTTCAGCCCCACTGTTCCTTTCCAGCCTCTCCCTCAGTTCCTGCAGCTGTTGCTCTTGGTCCGCAACAAGCGTTTTAAGCGAGGCCAGCTCTGCCTTCAAGGCAGCCACATCTCCGTCCATTGCTTTCTCTGCTGCTTCCTGGAGAACCCTGGTGTCCTGCTGTAGCTTGGAGAGCTCCTCGACGGCAAAGGTTTCCAATGTCTTAAGTTTGACTTCCACTGTTTCCCCAAGGGAAAGGTCCAGCTCTTCATCAGATAAGTAGATCCTCAGGATCAGTCTTGTCAGACCAAAAGAACTTCAAGAAGCGGTCAAGCTGTTTCTCATTTTCTCATCTCTTTTAAGCGTGGTGTCATCCCATAAAGTTGAAGGCATCTCTTGAGAGAGAAGGAGAGAGAGAGAGAGAGAGAGAGAGAGATTAAAAAAAAAAAAAAACACAAACATAATTGAAAAAAAAAAAAAAAAAAAAAAAAAAAAAATCAACAGTTTATTAAAGTTGCAGTAGGCGATTGTCTTTAGAAACAGACTTCCTACCACCACAGCAAAAACTCTTGCAGAAAGGAGAACTGGAAAGACTTCAGAATTTAGTGGAAAATCATGCAAAAATATTGGGAAAAAAAAAAGTTTAGACTCAGACTCAGCTTTATTATCCCGTTAGGGAAACTAAAAATTGCAACAAGGTACCATAACAGGCGAAGTTCCATGTACACATTTAAAAAAAACAAAACAAAAAAAAAAACTACTACACGACATCCATATATATATATATATATATATATATATATATATATATATATATATATATATATATATCAGTATATAGAAACATCCCCCTCACCCCTGGATTCATTTAATGACCTAATGGCCACCATTATAAAAGAATTTCTGGTTCTATTTGTCATGCAAAAAAAGTTCACCCCGTTTTGTACATTTGGTGTGTTGGGGCAGTTGTTGATGCGTTTCAGGGGTTCTGAGTCCTCATTTAGTGTATAATTTAGTATTTTTTTATTCAGCTAGAATTCCGACACACACAGTCCTCTGTCATGACATCTCCTTCCGCCTTAGCCATGGACACATCCCTCAAGGTTACTTAGGTCTGATGGAAATAACAGGTATTTGTGTTTAGCAACTGACCACCATTTTGTGGAAATGTTATGGTGTAAAGTGGTTCAGGTCTCACCTTTTGACTGATCAGACATTGCATCATGAAGTTAAGGAAAAACTGAATAGGTGGTGGTCGTAGGTGGCAGCCATCTCTTGCACTTCAGCCTCACATGCCTGTCCCTCAGTTCCTGCAAGAAGACAAGCGAGAACCAGCATTAGTCAGACAACCAGTATTTCTCCATCAGCACATCTTCTAAAAGCATTAATCTCTGGCTCGGGTCTCAAACTCAATTTATAGAGGGCCGCAGCTCTGCACAGTTTTGCTCCCGCCCAAATTGAACACAGCTGATGCCACCAATCAAATTGTTAATTATTTTTAATTATTTTTAATTATTTGGATTAGCTGTGTTTTAATTAGGGCTTCTTTTTGTTTCTTTTTGATTATTTTTGTAATCTGAAGTATGATGGCTTTTCCTAAATTAGATTCAAATGGTGCAAAAAGAAACCAAAAGACGCATTTTCCTTTTGTACTGTTGAAGCTAATGTGGAAAAGATTTTCTTTTTGAAAATATATTTTGAAACGTTGATCAAATGATGCATGCTGACTGGACACTCACAGGCATTATGATGAAGGATGAGATGTTTCCTCATGCAAAAATAAATGAAAACTGAAAAAAAGATTTGAGGATTGCTTCTTTGAATTGAGCATATGTGGAGACAAATTACACTGCCACAGATGATCCCTACTTCCCCTGAGCAGAAGCTGATCGATAATGCTAATTTTCTGCACACCTGTAAATAACATAAAAGTTTTACACAGTAGCAGATTGCATTTGTGACTTTTTTTAGATTTGTATGGCTGTGTGTGCATGTTGGCTATATTTGCGACTAAAGTCACATGTAAAGAAAACACGCACACACTAAAATGAAAAAATATTTACAAGATAAACAAACAAAACGCCATGTACTGTCAGGAGTTGGGTTTTGATTTTATTAATATTACCGTGTGAACTTGACTTTGAATTGAGTTGCTCTGAGTGTTGTTGTTTGTTTTGATCCTGAAAAATGCAGAAAAGATTTTAATTTAACATGAAGATGCATTTATTTATTTATTTACTTCTGCTGTTGCATTTTCCAACAGCTCATCAACTGCAATTACTGATCACAAAAACAGCAAGTGGTGTCAAAGCCTTGTTTTGTTTTAAATGCAGCAAGATACATTATGTGTGTATATATATATATATATTGTAAAATCTCTATGAAGCTATCACAACATAGCAAATGACGTGCTGCCCTCTTGTGGACAATCTTTGAAACGTTCAGACCCAACTGACAGAGTGCTTTTACTAAGGTTGTATAAATATAGGCAAATATTTCATATATTTATATTAATTAATTAGTTTTATTTTATTAAATAAACAATTAATTTGTTCATTTTATTATCGTTTTGTACATCTATCCTTGGATTTTATTATTGATCTTCAATTTCATCACAGTTCCTTTTTTTGTCCACCAGAGGGACTCATTTGACAAGTTATCAATGATAAACCCTTTTACTCACAGACTGTCACATCAGAGCCACTTTGACAAATACGGAATTAAACCATTCACAGTGAATAGTATCCCAGTGTTCAAAGTATAGAGAGAGATTTTTAAAAAGTAAATAAAAGAACAAACACAGCATTTAGAACAATTATAAAATGTTTATTAGGTTTCATTCTTACACTGGAAAAAAATGTCAAAGATGCAATGGATTTAAAAAAAAAAAAAAAAAAAAAAAAAAAAAAAATTACGTCAAGTGGTT